TGTGACTCATTGTTTGTTGAGAAGGATGTTGTTTAAATTCCATGTGTTAATGTAGTTTTTGTGGTTTCCTTTATCTTTGATTTCCCATTTCATTGCTCTATGTTTAGAAAGTTTGTGTTGGATGATTTCAGTTCCGCTACACTTACTTCAACATGTTTCATCAGCTAATATGTGATTTATTTTGTAGAACATCTCATGTGAAGCTGAGTAGAATTTAAATTCTGATATTTTGGGGTGGGACACTCTGTAGACATCCACCAAGTTCATTTGTTCACAGGTTTGATTTAATTCTAATATTTCTTTGTTGATTTTTTGTTTAGACTATCTCTCCATTTGTGAGAGTGAGGCATTAATGTCCCCTACTACACTTGCATTAGCGTTTACTTGGTTTTTCATGTCAGGTAATATTTGTTTTATGTAGTTGGGTGAGTCTGTTTGGTGCATAAGTATTTATGATTGTTATCTCTTCATGGAATTTTCCCTTAATGAACATGTAATGGCACTCTTTGACTCTTGTGATCAATTTTGGGTTGAAGATCACACTGTCTGCAAAAACAATAGCTAGCCCTGGTTTTTGCTGAGTTCCTGTGGCATTGAGAATTGTTTTCCATCCTTTGACTTTTAGTCTATGAATTTCTTTTTGGGTTAAATGTCTTTCTTCAATGCAACATCTTGCTTTTTGATTCATACAGTCTATTTCTTTTGATTGGTGAGTTGAGACCATTTATGTAGATGGTTGTAACTGATATTTATTGGCTTTTCTTCTTTGCAATGCTTATTTATTATTTGTTCCTTGTCTTTGTGCTCTGTTTAATTGATTGTTCTGCCCAGAATCCTCTTTCTATTGGTGTTCCTGTGTTTGTGGTCTATGTTATCTCTTTCTAATGTATTTTGCAGAGCATTCTGTAGTGCTGGTTTTGGTAGTCATTAATTTCTTCAGTTGTTTTTTGTCATGGAAGTATCTTATTTGAAAGATATTTTTGTGGGATACAATAATCTACTTTGAAGATTGTTTTCCTTTAGAGCTTGAAATATTTTACTCCAAGCTGTTGTTGATTTTAGGGTTTGTGTAGAGATGTCTGTGGATTCTGATAGGCTTTCCTTTATAGGTGATCTGTTTCTGTTCTCTAGCTGCTTTTAAATTTTGTTTTTGCACTGAATTTCTGAAATCTTGATTTTTATGTACCTTGGTGTGGATTTATTTTGGTTGTGGCTATTTGGAATTCTTTGTGCTTTGTCTAATTGTATGTCAAATTCTTTATCCATGTTTGGGAAGTTTTCTGCCATTATTTCTGTGAAGAGGTTTCTAATGACATGTGTGCTGTCTGCAGATTTCTCACTGATTCCAATCAATCTTATTTTGTTCGTTTTTGCTTTACCCTATAGCTGTTGGACTGATTTTTCATGGTCTCTTAGGATTTTTAAGATATCATTCTTCTCCTGGTCACTGGTTGTGTTTCTGTCTTCTAGATCTGATATTCTATTCTCACCTTCATTCAGCCTGATGCATATACTTCCATTGGAGTTTCTAATTTCCTGCATTTCTATTTGGATGTTTCATTGCTTGATTTTTTTTCTCTGTGTTTGGTATTCATGGTTTCCATTATTTTCTTGAGCTCCTTATTTGTTTATCTGTGCCTGCTTTGATATCTTTTCTTTTGATAGTCATTACTTCTTGCACCTTAGAGATTATTTTTTCTATGACCTCTTCCACTTGTCTTTTTACTTCTGCTGCTGTGATTTCAGAGAATTCCATTTGTTGGCTTCTGATTTCCTCTATCTCTTTGTGTTCTAGATTTGTCCTAGGTAAGCTAGATGATTGTGACTGCATTTTGCTGTTTTGTCTTGTCACTTTCTATTTTCTTTTGTCTTCTGAGATGATGTTTTTAGATTTGTAATGTTAGACAACCTTATCACTGATGTTGAGACTTTCCTAGGAGGTGTCTGTTCCTCAGGATGTCTCCTCTAGCCAGAACCACCTTTACTTCTCTTGCTAGTATCATACTCCTTTTACTCTCACTGGCAAGTAGTCCTGAGGAAATGGGGGAAGCATACAGTGTGGAAACACACTCCTCTTGCTGGAAACACTCTCCTGGGGATAATGAAGGAAGCACAGAATATGGACCTACCCTGTACTATCCTGCACTAACATTCTGGGGCAACAGAGGAAATGCAGAGCTTGTACCTATACTCCTCTCCACTCCTCTTAGCTGGCACCACTGTCCCAGGACAATCATCAGAGGGCAGAGTGCAGACTCACACTTCAGAAGGCACTGACATCCTGATGCAAAGGAGAATGTTCAGATCATAGATTAGCACTCCAGTCATCAGCACCACTGTCCCAGGAAGGTGGAGGAAAGGCAGAGTGTAGACTTACACTCCATATGCAGGTGCCCTCATCCCAAGGCAATGGCAGCAGACCCACACTCCATTCATGGGTACCACCCTCCCTGCAATAATGGAGGAAGGGTGGGGTGCAGACTTCCCAGAGAGATACCTTCTTTCTGAGGCCATAAAGGAATCACAGAGCACAGACTCACACTCTACTCACTGGCACCACCTTCCTGGACAAAATGGAGAAAGGGTGGGTGTGGACCTACAACCTAAAGGCAGAAGCCTCCCTCTCAGGGTAACAGAAAGAGCTGAGAGAGATGCACACTCTGCTCACTGGATCCACCTTCCCTGTGAAAATCCATTTCTTTTCCCTATAAAGTTGGAATGATCCAAAAATAGTGTCTCAGATACACACACACACACACACACACACACACACACACACACACACTCACACAGATCTGTGTTCTTCCTGTCATTAACACACTCTGTTATTACTTCTCTTTAATTTACACATTTGTTATATGTAAATCACTTCTCTTTCTATTTCTCAGTTGGAATGAAATCTATCCTCACTAAAAAATGTGTACTAGTGGAAATTAGCAGAAATTAATGAGTACATTAGAGATGAAAACTTTCATTACAATCAAAACAAGTGAGTTTCAATCATCTGACAAAACCCTATCATTATGGAAACAAAACTGAGGTTTTATCTTATTCCACATAGAATGACTGTGGTCAGGAACTCAGAAAATAACAAACATTTGTGAGGCTATAGGGTTGGAGATAAAACACTTCTACATTGTTGGTGGGAATGTAAACTAGTATGACCTCTTGGAAATCAACATGGAAAAGACTAAAACTAGAAATTTCATTTGACTCATCTGTGTCTCTTCTGAGAATCTCCCCCAAAGATGTAAAGTCATTATAGCACACTGACACATGCATGCATTTTTTTATGGCAGCACAACTCAAAATAACTACAGTTTAGAAGCAGTCTGTGCCTATCAGTAGAGGAATGGATAAAGAAATTTAGATAGATAGATAGATAGATAGATAGATAGATAGATAATGAGAGAGAGACATCTACTAAGGTATAAAGAAGTATAAACCAGTCATTTGTAGGAAAATGGATGCAATTTGAGTTTACATTGTGAAATAAATCAGGAAGTTAACATTAAGTAATTTTTTCTTATGTTAAAAACACAAAATATAAATGATTTAAATAGCAAAATGAAGGAAAGTTGACAGAAAATAAGAGGTAGACCTTATGGAGATTGGAAGGAGATCTGAGGATGGGAGTAGGAGGGTCTAGAGGGGAAGTAGGAAGTACAAATTATTAACATGCCATATGTAAGTCCATTAATTCTTCAAAATGAGCATCATTATTATTTATCCCACTCATATACAAATAAAAATTTAAATATTAAAATGCAGGTGACATGACTCAGAAGAGAGCAACATGTTACTGTTACTAGACATCAATGAATAGTCTAATTTTTCATTTTATAAGATATGGGAAGAAATACAAACTTATAAGAATGCAACACAAGAAATGATATTTCTAAAGAGCAGGAAAAAATTTAAGAACTGTATTTAGAAGATGTCTTTATATCAGAGAAATTGTGTCAAAATAGAGAATTCCATAATATTTGAAATTTTATTAATATATACCACCCTTCCTTCAATTATATATGCCTCCATGACAGATTTACAGAATTAGCCAAATGTTTTGGGAGTATTGTAAACATTGCAATCTGTTTCATGCATAATAGTCTTGAATTTGGAAACAAGGATATGGATAAGGTGCTTTATTTGAAAGGAAATCTCAGGCAACAACATGAGAACTTGGTATTAAAAGATAAAGGGAAGAAAGACAACAAAAGATTCAGTAATGTGACACTATAGTCTGAAAATAAATTTTGATGAGGTTTATAAAACTCTATAATTTTGTGAAGAATATGTCTCTAATTTGGCTGAAGTAGTTCCTCTCTCTCTCTTCCTGGACACTTTAGTAGGTTTGATAACTGATTTTTTTATCTTATGTGAAAATTTTATTTGATATTGTAAGGAAATATTTGACTGATTTTAAAATGCCATAGTTAAACATGTATTTGTGAGCTAAATGGTTTTATTATCATATTATTTAAGTAAGCTATTTAATTTTCATACATCCTTTCAGTCATTTCCTGGATAAGTTTATTAAGAAATTCAACATCTAATTTTCTAGATTTTGGTGTCAGTGTAGAGCTGGAAACAAGGAATTAGTTTGAAAGTTTGAAAGACAAAAATGAGGTATAAAGAACATGTGGTACCTACAAATCTTTATGAAAGTATAAATTGTCACATGATAAAAAAATATTGGTGAATACGTAGTTGAATATCAGAATTAGCAAATATTGACTCACAGATCAGAGCCTGAAGAATTGTAAGTTAGCAAATTGTTCTTATCTTTCAAACATACAAATATATCTTACTACTGCTGTAAACATATCATTGTCAAAGCAGAAATTACATAAAGGAACCACTGCATAGGAACATATATTTTCAGAATGTCTGAACTAATTGTTGTATGGCAACTTACCAAGGTCATTTTGGGCCATGGGGGAAGTACATAAGCTGAAGAAAAGCCTCAAATAATTTGTAAATGTTTTAATAAATTTGAGTTACTCTTTCTTTACAAATAATTTCATGACTCTTTCCCGAATTTGCTTTGTCCTGACCCCATAAATAACTGGATTTAAACAAGGAGGAACAACCACATACAGATTTGCCAGAAGGATGTGAATGTAACGAGGAATATTTCTACCAAACCGGTGTGTCATGAAGGAGAAGAATGCTGGAGTGTAAAACGCTAAGATGACACAGACGTGTGAAACACATGTATTAAGTGCTTTGTGCCTGGCGTCCCTTGAAGGAAGGCGGAAAACAGCTTGCAGGATCTGAACATAAGAAAGTGCGATAAAGATTAAGTCTAGGATGAGTGCTCCAATGGTGAATAAACCATAGACGATGTTGACCCTTATGCTGGCACAGGCCAGACGTGCGATGCCCATATGTTCACAGTAGGTGTGAGGGATGATGTAGTGTCCACAAAAGGGCAGTCGTTTCAGAAGAGGACAGAAGGGAATCACGAGGAGGACCGGTCTGCCCACTACAACAGAGGCCATAATGGCCACCACCT